GGTGCGTTCCAATAAGTCTTCCTACCAATATGACCATGTTGCGAAAACAAGGTCAAACAACCTCTATAATTTTTTGTTGCTGATTCGTTTTAAATTGGCTTTCAATGATCTGTTTTATCTCTGTCGAGCCACAATATTATGAACCTTGACTTCTCGATCACCTCTGACACTTTGCCACAAGTACTTAATTAAAACTTGTTTTAAGGCACAGATGGTTATCAGTTTTTTTTATTTCTTACTCATTTTTATTACAATTATTAAATCCTCGTCCATTTTTTGTCATTCCCAATTTACTGATTTGTCCACTTTTTACCTGAACATAGCCATTAGCTGTCCATCTCATTTTTTCATCCCTCATTCATCACTTTGCTCTTCAATCCTCTTGTTTGCTTTACCAGACTTTACCCAATCTCGAAGTCTATAATTATAGGACTCTATCATATCGCCATTTCAATTCTCTCTTTTCTCCACGGAGCTGCCTTACGCATCCCGAATTCCATCTCGACAACTTTTCTGTAAAATAGTTCTTAAATAATAGCCAATACACTCAAAATCAACTAAATTACTTCTATATTTTCGCAGATGTCATTGAATCAGTGCGCCCTATTGGTCAACGTTGGCTCCGTCTCGACCTCTCCTCGTCGACTGAACTGATGCGCATCTCATCCATTCCAGGACCATCCGTTGGCTGCGGGAACAAGACCACTTCTTCCCTTGCCCTGACAACAAAAGCCGCCACCTCGGAGGTTTACCTCTACTGTGCACCCGATGAAGCGGCTCGTCAGCTCTGGTTGACCTCCTTGCGCACTGTCATTCACGCCGAAAACTTACGCCGGCAGGTCGGATACCACAGCAGTCGGCACCATCATCTCCTCCACCCGACGTCATTGGCGGTCACGAATGCTTCTCTGCCGGTGCATTATCAATCCCTATACAGTCTATATGGGTCACTTAGTGAGCCGACTAGTGAAAGGAATAGCGTTAAACACTATGGCCCGCTTGACCGACCGGTGGAGAGCAGCACTGATACTGTTCGCAGTGCTCTTCAACGCGTGAGCAAGTTGGCATATCCATTGCTCATGTCTGTATCTCTTTTTTGTACTCTTTTTATTTTCTTCGACTTCCTTTTGGTGTATATACGATGTGTATTGACCCCATTTTGCCCAAGGTGAGGAGGGGACTGGTAGTTGAATTTTACCACAATAATATAAGCATACCTTACGTTTTCGTTGAATTTCATATAGCCTTGCTTTACCAAAGTGTATTCTTATGTGAAATTCAATAACAACGTAAGGTCTACTCATTGGATTGTGGAAAAATTCAACTAGCAGTCTGCTTATCGCCTCAAACGAAATAGAGTGAGCACACTTCACATATAAATGATCCACTGGTAGTCTTAAAAGCCTACTTATAAACGAAAAATATGTGTATATATTTATTTTAGGTGTTAAAGATTGGAATACTGGCCGATTAACTTGAGTTTAAAGCAACATCATCGCCAAGGTAGAATATAACCCATTTTCTGCTTTGGCGCCTGCTGGTTAAAGCTTAAACCGCAATTATTACTACTATTTATATATACTTTAATTGAGTCCGGTGGCCTCTCTGTGAGGCGATTTATGGTTCACTTATGGGTCGCGTTATGCTCTCATGCAGGAATCAGTTTAACTATACTTTTTAACACAGATCTTGGGGCTTCTCTTACTAGGCTTTACGTAGCTGTGACATCAATGGCATATCAATTGGTATTTGAAGCAGACATCTCTCAATTATGGAGACTGTAATCATAAAATTAGGCTTCAACCAGAAAAGACATTCTGACTTTGCAATGCTCTGTGGATGAAAGTGAGCTTGTTTTTCCATATTCCATAATGCAGGCTTTAAAGTATCGTTCTCCTGTTTGGATCTGTGATTACTTAACTTCTAATAAATGTAGAGGTGTTCTTTTGAGCTGATTCTATGCTCAGCTCATATATATATAATTTTATCTTACTGGCATACCAAATGCAACTTTATACCAAATATGAGCCGTGGATTCAAAGTATCATAACTATTGGAGATGATCTGATCTCGTTTTCGCACCTTCGCCGTATTTTCAGGGCGACCTAGTTAGGCTTAACTTGTAGTTAGCATAATTCCCATTGCCGGATCGTAGACTTGGTACATTCCTTGACGTTTCGCCGGTCTCGTCAGTGAGCCTTGTCATTCTCAGCACCAAGCTACAATTTGTCAATGAAGCAAGTGGAGTCAATCCCTTGACCTACTTTCTTCCGAGACGATTGTAGTACTATCACTCCTCTTTCTCTCCTGGCACATCTACCTACTCCCTTTCCTCTTGTCCTACTTCCTTCCTATCCCAACTTCTGACTTATTTATATTCGACTTGCTTTTAGCGAGTTTAGTGTGGCGTCATCACACCTGCTGTTTACCTTTCCACTCCTCCCTCTCGATTTGCTGATCCGACTTGAACCTTTTATCTAAATCTCTCTCATAGTCCCGGACATTCGTTTCTTATTTTTCCTGGTTGACTGATTTCACTTGGTTCTAGTCACAGTATACGTTTACATGAGATGTATTCATCCTAGTTCGTTTAGGGTGATAAGGGGACTGTTAGTTGAGTTTTTTCCACAATGCTATGAGTAATCATGACGGTTCCATTGCATTTCACATATTATACATTTTGCTTCAGGCGCTACTTCTCATATATGAGTTGTTTTCACTCTATTTCATTTGTAGTAATGAAGGACTGGTAGTTTAATTTTCCCACAATGATATGAGTAAAGTTGATATATTCCATTGATTGTCACATGGTATTCCTTTTTCAAACGGTGTTCTCATCCCGGCTGGAGTGGACTGCAATTTCGACCTCGAATAGGCCTTATCAACGCTCCAAGCGGGAGTCGAACCATAACAGAGCAGTATGTTATCTCAACACGTTGACCACTGCGTCACACTGCCACGAATGCTATTGGCTCACAGAGCAGATGTGAGTTTCAAGGAATATCAGGCATTTCCCATATCACATTCTGTGTTGGGATTGTCGATGAGGCAAACTTATATTTGCTATAGCAATTGAAAATATTACCTTTTTCGTGAGTGATTAGGTTCTCGAGACTACTAGTAAATCATAGTCTGCCACAAGCCTTTAGTGGCTCATATACTGTCGCCTCTCTGAGGAAAGAGTCTAGGCTTGCAGATATCAGGCATTGTCTCCACGGTTTATCTCTGCAATTCAACTCTTCCACCCGAGCAGATTATGAAAGTCTATCTCTGATATCCTTCTTCATATCGAGAGGATTTCTAATCAATTTAGCTCCGATCTACGAGCCATAATGAAGAATTCCAGCCTCCTCTCCTCCAAAATGGTAGTTGATTCTTCCCAAAGACTGTTTCTTCTCTTTATTTAAGAAAGTTCCTCACCTGCGTCTTGCTATCCCTTTTTCTCCGGTTGGCAATAGCTTCTTGATCCTTTTTGCTGTTCTTGTTACATCCCTGTTTGCTCCCAGATTTGTCGGTAACTCTGCCTTCTTCCAATTTCCTGTTCATAAATTTTTTTTCCTCAAGGATGGAATTTAATCTTCCGTTTTCTCGTGTTTTCGCCTAATTAATCCATTCTTTCTGTTGTCTTTCGGTTGATCTCGTGTCCAGTCTGCGCGATGTGTTCCATTATTTCTCATCTTTCGGTATCCATTTTCCTGAAGAGCTTTTGATGATACTCGATTCTAATGCTTATTTTACTCCCCGTTTCGTCAATATATTTCTGTTTGCAGGACACGGCATGTTATGCAATAAAATTGGTCTACCCTCTCATGTTGGGTGGGCAAACCTGTGAAGAGTATTGCTTTCTCCTTTTTGGTCACATGAGTATTCATTTTCTTAATATTGGCCGTAGTTTTCGCATTCGTTCGCAGGAAGATGGGCATAGCTAAGGAGTATTCGGGCTAATTTGTCCAATTTTCCATCCCAAAATTCTACAGTAGTTAATCGTAGGCTTCTGATCATGCTCGTCATTATTCATATCTTTGGTCTGTAGTTGCGATGGGACTAGACATTGAGTATCATTCCGGCATATGGCTTTTTTGTGAACAATTTTCCAATTCTAGCGAGTGACTTCAACCGAACCGAATGTGTATACATGGAACCTACATCAAAATTTATCAATAATTTTGATCCTTTTAGTGTTCCTTATTGTTGTTCCTTTAAGAAAATTCATGTGCATATTTAGCTATGTTTGATAACTTTTCGCTTATTTTATCATATCACGTAGGGTTTTATTGATCTTTATAGTTGGGTCCTGCCATAGTACACGATACGTGGCCTTGTCTCGTAGTATACTCCCAATCTTTTCGGTACTTTGTTTCCTCACATTTATTACTGTCGCTCCTCTATCAGCCTGAAGGAGTAATTTTTCATTCGTTTGTAAGCTCCTGTGTATCCTCGCTAATCTCTTTTAGTTTGTTGTCTTACTGATCATTAGGTGTTGCCATCTCGGAAACCACATTAACTGGTCGTATTGACTTTCAGTTTCGCTGTCTTATAATCCCATATATACAATTTTTTTCCTGATTTTTGTTACTAAGTCAGCTATCATACGTGTTTTCTTTTCGACCATACTCTGGATTTTTTAAATCTTCCTGAGTTATATTTATGGCCAGATCACAGCGGAGCTTTATTCAATATTTATAAACTTAAATAACCATTTTCTCTCCGTATAATTAGTTTCTCTTAACTTCTGAATATAGGTCTGGTGGAGATACTCATTAACTCTGTCCGAATGGTAGTATCACTTAAAGTCACATAATTCAGAAATGATACCACAAGGATTGCAACACTTTTAAAAAGTCAGGTGGCATGATTGATTTCCACTTGTCTTCTTTGTCCTGATGCAATCAATGAAGTCTGACAATCTTACTATCGTTGTCTAGTCGTAGATATGAAGACCAAGGTGTTGTGGACGCACCTTGTCCGAAGTCCTCTGCTGCAATAGCTAT